GGGTCTGGGGATCTCGGGCGTTTGTCCGCGACTTGTCTGCGGACAAGCTGTCCCCCCCGTGCTGTTCCCTGCGTCTTCCTCGGCTTCCCCCCTGACGCGCCTGGGTGGCAGTTTTACCACCCCACCTCGCGCCGTGTTCTGTCCTCCAAGGACATCACCTTTGACGAGTCGGTTCCTTACTACCGTCTCTTCCCCTACCGCGCTGCGCCCCTTCCCCCCGCCGCCGCTCTTCCTTGTGCCAGGTCCTCCCCCGGTAGAACCCCTCCCCCCTCAGGGTCCTGCCTCGTCAGGTGTGTCCCAGGTAGACGCAGTCGAGCCTGTCGAGGTAGCTGTTGACTCTGGTGCTGCTAGAGGTGCTGAGCGTGCGGGTGCCGGGTCTGGAGGTGCTGAGCCTGCGGGTGCTGAGTCTGGGGGTGCTGAGCCTGGGGGTGCTGAGACTGGGGTGCTGAGCCTGGGGGTGCTGCGTTTGGGGGTGCGGAGCCTGGGGGTGCGGAGCTTAGGGGTGCGGCGCTTGGGAGCGCTGGGTCTGCTTGTGTGGCCGCCTGCGTTGCTTCGTCGAGGCGTTAGCCACTCTCTCCGCAGGAGCTGCGCGAGTGGTTTGCCCAGCGCTGGAGTCGTGGTGCTGGAGATGGAGGCACTACTGTTGCTGCTGGTGCCGGAGGTGGTCGTACTGGCGGTACTGGAGCTGCTAGGACTAGGGGTGCTGCTGGAGCTGGAGCTACTGGGGGTGTTGGCGCAGGTGTTTCTGCTGGCGCTGGTGCGTCTGAGGGTGCTGGAGCTGACGCTGCTGGCGCTGGTGCCTCTGTTGGGGGTACTGGTGCCGTCCCTGCTGGTTCAAGAGGCACTGCGCGGCCGCGGCCGTACTTTGTTTTGCTCCTTGAGCAGGTTCTTGGTCTCCCGCCCTCTACTGGTCCTGCTCCTCCCTTAGAGTGTCCGCTGCCCGTCCAGTCGCAGTCACAGTTACAGCCCGCCTCCCCTCTTCCTGCTCCTTCTCCCTACACTGGTCCTACTGGAGGTCTTGCTGAGCGTCATGAGCCTGCGTCTCGTCCTGCGTCGCCTGTTCGCACTGCTCGCACTAGTCGTCGTATTCCGCGTCCTCCTGCGGTTCCAGGCACACACCAGATGGCACTGCGTCCTTCCACTGCTCCTCTGCGTGTCCCGTTGCCGTCTCCTCCAGAGTCCTCTCTTTTGTCCTTCCTGACCCTGAGTCTGACTCTCTTCGTGCTGCCAGTCCTACTGTCACGCGTCTCCTGGCCACTGTTATCACTGACCCTTCCTTTGAGTCCACTGCTGCGTCTGCCTTAGTGGCTGAGCTTGTCGACTTCGCTGCTCGCTGTCGTCTAGACTACGCCACTAGTCTTGTTGCTGAGTCCGAGTCTTTCTGTCCTCCGTCCGTTGGGGGTGGGTGTGCTCTTAGCATGGACGTCCTTGAGGACAGGCAGGAGGAGTTCCAGTGTTTTGCCGCTGCTTTGCCTCATCTCGTGTCCACGCTGATTGCCCCTGAGGGAGACCCGGATGCACCAGACATCCCGACGCCTCGATCGTACGCTGAGGCGATCGAGGGTCCCTACTCCTCTCAGTGGCAGTCAGCCATGGACGCAGAGATGGCTTCCTGGAAGTCCACAGGTACCTACGTTGACGAGGTTCCCCCACCTGGGGCGAACATCGTCAGTGGCATGTGGATTTTCAGGGTGAAGCGGCCGCCGGGTTCTCCACCTGTCTTCAAGGCGCGTTACGTGGCTCGAGGCTTCAGTCAGCGGCAGGGAGTTGACTACTTTCAGACCTTCTCTCCCACCTCGAAGATGACCACTCTTCGGGTGCTGCTGCACATAGCCGCTCAGCGCGACTACGAGCTTCACTCTCTTGACTTCAGCACAGCTTTCCTGCAGGGCAGCCTGCACGAGGAGATCTGGCTGCGCCGCCCACCTGGCTTCACTGGGTCGTTTCCTCCTGGTACCCAGTGGAGCCTCAGGCGGCCAGTCTACGGTCTCCGCCACGCGCCCCGTGAGTGGCACGACACACTGAGGACTACACTTGCGGCTCTTGGGTTTGCTCCTTCTACAGCCGACCCGTCGCTGTTTCTTGCGCACCGACACCTCTTTACCGCCATTCTACATCCTCGTGTACGTCGACGACTTGGTCTTTGACAATGTTGACACTGCTTGACTCGCCCACGTGAAGTCAGAGCTGCAGAAGAGACACAGGTGCACAGACCTGGGTGAATTGCGCAGCTACCTTGGCTTGCGGATCACCCGGGACAGAGCACAGTGCACCATTACCCTGACTCAGTCACACATGGTGCAGCAGGTCCTTCAGCGCTTCGGCTTCACGTACTCCTCGCCTCAGGCCACTCCTCTGTCTACTCGCCACTCGCTCTCTTCTCTGCCTTCGGATGAGTCCGTAGAGCCGAGTGGCCCGTACCCAGAGCTTGTTGGCTGCCTCATGTACCTGATGACCTGTACACGACCTGACCTTGCATACCCTCTTAGCATCTTGGCACGCTATGTTGCTCCTGGGAGACACCGACCAGAGCACATGGCTGCAGCGAAGAGGGTGTTGCGCTACGTGTGCAGTACGTCGGGCATGGGGCTAGTGCTTGGAGGGCGACGTCCAGTGGTCCTCACAGGTCACGCAGACGCTTCTTGGGCTGACGACCAGCCGACACAGCGGTCGTCACAGAGTTACACATTCAGCCTTGGCTCCGGCTCTGTTTCGTGGCGGTCTACCCGCTCGTCTTCTGTTCTCACCTCCAGCTGTGAGGCTGAGATCTACGCGAGGGCCATGGCTGCACAGGAGCTACGCTGGCTCACCTACCTGCTGACTGACCTAGGAAAGCCGCCTCGTTCTCCTCCAATTCCGTACGTAGACAACAAGGCCATGCTGGCCTTGTGTCGGGAGCACAGACTGGAGCACAGAATGAAGCACATTGCTCTTCGCTACTTCCTGGCTCGTGAGTTGCAGCAACGTGGTCAGCTCCGCCTCACCTACGTGGCCTCTGAGGCCAACACTGCTGATATCTTTACCAAGGCCCTTCCGCCTTGTGATCATCAGTGTGAGAGTACGACGGCTTATGCCAGCTATGCTTGCTTGCCTTTACTTTATCATGCTATTTCTAGCATAGGATAATTATATGCATGCATGAATTGCTTGATTTCCTAGGCTAGGTGCTTTCCTATATTTTATTATAGTTATAGCACCGAGCTAGGTTGCGTGCACCGAATTCTGGCTTTTCGGTTGCCACCGAATTGCCTTTTACCGAATTCGGTAAGGATCCGTTCGGGACGCTACACGGGCCGCGGAACCTTCGCGTAACACCTGGTTACGGGGCCTTGTGTCGAGCCTATATATAGCCTCGTCTTGTATCCAGGTGAACATTCAATTCAATTCAATTCGACTCAATTCTCATTCTCTTTTCTGAACTCGATCCTAGATCCTCACACTTGGTATCAGAGCGGTCTCGGGTTCGAATTCCGGTGAATGCACATGTTGGCCGTTGCCACTGTGCTCAGTCCTGGGCCTTCCAGTGTGGGGGGGTGTCAGTAGATCTACACTGTGAGATCCCCGATCGATCCTAGGGGGGGTTACAGGCGCGTTTGCCTGGGGGGTTATGGGCGCACTAACCCGCTACTGAAACAAGCCCTTTTATCCCAATGGTCTAGTGGTTGGTATTCTGACATGGTATCAGAGCCTGTTTAGAAGCGAAGTTTTCGACCGCTAAAACCTAGCTTTTAAAACCGCGGGGGCGATGATGGAAAGCGTTGATTTCGGGTACGTAAACCAGTTCCGCGCTATTTTCTTACGTCCCCCCCGAACCGGTTTTCGAACACTCCTCATGTCCAGTGGCGAAAAAGTTGGAATTTTGACCGTCGGATCGATTCGAATCTCAACGACCTCGAGAATTTCGCCCAAAGAAGTTGGAATTTGGAGCGTCGGATCGAATTTCTTCTCAACGGCCGAGATCAGACGCGAATTTCATTTAAGGGAGAATTACGCGACCTACAGAATCAGCCCTCGTCATTTCTGCAGTCAACTCGACTCACAGTAAGATGACCAGCGCCTAAAATTCATTTATTTTCGTCGCAAATCTTCCTATAAATCGCCAAATGGAGGAAAACGGTGATAATTCCGTACCGAAAATTACGGAGTTACACACCGGCTTGGACCAGACGCGAGCGGCACTCCAGCGAATAGAGGCGCTTCTCGCGAACTAGTCGGCAGCCGCCACAGCAGCAGCGACCACAGCGACTGCAGCACCGACAACTCCAGCAAGCAGTGGCGACACCGACATTTCACGGACCAATGGCACCACTGTCGCCGAACCTCGAAGCAGCACGACCGAGGCTCCCGGAGGCGTTCGATCCAAGCGCGAAGGGATTTGACGTCCGGCGATTCGTGGCCACCCTCTAAAGTTACTTCGAGGTCATTGGCTGTTCGACCCCGCAACATGATGCAGCAAGGATTCGGCTCGCAGCGACACTGTTACGTGGACCGGCTCTCGAATGGATTTACTACACCGACGTAGCCCGCGGGGAGAAAACGTGGCAGCAGTTTCGGGCATATTTAATCGAGCGTTTCGAACCAATTAATACAACCTACATGGCGCGGCAGCAGATACACCGACACAAGCAATACAGTAGTGTAACACAGTACACGCAGCAGATGGAGTTACTGTTCAACCGCATCACCGACCTGACCGAAGGCGAAAAAATCCAGGCGTACACCGAAGGATTAAAAATGGAGATTCGGCGGCAGGTGATTGCGGCGAATTACAACAGCTACAGAGACATCGTGCGTGCTGCCGAGCGATACGACGCGCTGACTCGAAGTCAACCCGAAACACGACGCTTCACGCCGAACCGTACATTCGGCACGGAGCGATCGGCACCCCCCACGTTCGCCGTGTTGAGATAGAGGCGAGGAATGGGTGCACTATGAAATGAAACACGTACAAGTACCAACCCTAATTGGGTTGTACCCCCTATGGGCTACCCCACTACAGCCTAAATATATGCATCAGTAATATAATCATCTGACACACCCCCGCCGCCACCACCTCCGCTGCCACCGCCACTCCCACCGTCGCTGCCGCCACCGCCGCCTCCCGCCTCCACTTCCACCACCACCGCCGCTGCCACCCCCGCCTCCACTGCCGCCGCTGACACCTCCACTCCCGCCACCACTCCCGCTACCACCCCCACCTCCTCCGCTGCCTCCACCGCCGCTCCCACCGCCCCCGCCGCCTCCACCACCGCTCCTGCCCCCCTTGCCCTTGCCAGAGCGACGTCTCCCACTGGGGGCAGACGCCGCACCGACCGACTCAAAACCAACTAGGTCGGCCGTAGCAGCAGAGGCGACAGAGGGGAGGAGGGGGAGGGGGAACACCCCTAAAAGATGGGGGTGCGCGGGTCACCACGAGAGGCCCCTACAGCGAGAATGCTCTTCTCGGCTGCTAGGAGGGACTTCTCGAGGATGTTAACAGTGAGAGTGGTGGGGCAGACTGAGAGTAAGTCGTCCCTGACTCCGCGAAGGGAGTCAGGGAGGCGGGTGACAATGTAGTAGAGAGTGAAGTACTGGGGGGGGGGGTTCTTGGCGCAGAACTCAGCAGGAAGCGCAGCGCGGAAGCGAGCGTCACTAGTGCGCAGGTGGGTAATGAGGTCGGCGACTGTGGCAAAAGAAGCAAGGTCAGGAAAGAGGTACGGTAGCATGAGGCGGCTCAGTGCAGCAGTGTCAGGGGTGGAGTAGCGTGCAATAACGGCGTCGTACAAGGTCTGAGCACTCTTGTACGACCCAAAGTGTGCACGCTCAGAGGGAGGGAGGTGGCGACGCACAGCAAGACGTGCAGCAGCATCGCGTGTGGCCCACTGTGAGCGAACAGTGGCATCCTCAGTAGCAGCAGGGGCGGGAGAGGCACCAGAAGTGAGATCAAAGAGAGAGAGGCCGTCAGCTCTGTCGCACTGTAAGAAAAGCAGCAGGTCGTCTACCCACACGTCAAAGTCGATGGCTCTGCCCTCAGCGTCGAAGATGAGGACACTGGGGGTAGCCATGACAGCAGTGGGGTGAGGGCAGTGCGCAGAGTAAAGCTCAGTGCTCACCAGACAGGGCAGTGCAGGCGGCTCGGGCGGCTCGGGCGGCTCCGGCGGCTCGGGCGGCTCGGCGGCTCGGCTGCTGGGCGGCTCGGGCGGCTCGGCTGCTGGGGCGGCTCGGCTGCTGGGGCGGCTCGGCTGCTGGGGCGGCTCGGTTGCTGGGGCGGCTCGGCTGCCGGGGCGGCTCGGCTGCTGGGGCGGCGCAGTTGCTGGGGCGGCGGGGCCGGGAGATGCAGCTGCGGGGCCGTTAGGGGTAGTGGCGGGGCCGGTAGGTGAAGCGGCGGGGCCGTCAGGTACAGCAGCGGGGCCAGCAGGTGAGACGGCGGGGCCTGCAGATGAGGCGGCGGGGCCGGCAGGTGCAGCAGCGGGGCCGTCAGGGGTAGCGGCGGGGCCGGTAGGGTGCAGTGGCGGGGCCGTCAGAGGGGACGGCGGGGCCGTTAGGTGCAGCAGCGGGGCCGTCAGAGGGGACGGCGGGGCCGTCAGGTGCAGCGGCGTGAGAAGAAGTGAACGAGAATGAAATGACTATGAACGAAGTGAGTACAAATAGGAAACCCTGATTGGGTTGTACCCCTTATGGGATACCCCACTATAGCCTACAAAAACAAGTAAGCTATATGTTCTGACACACCCCCATAGGCAAAGTGGGGGAGAACAAGGGGTCACAAGACCAGTCAAGCAAAGCAAAGCAAAGCTCAGGGTGGATCACAAAGTCACCACGCATTCCGAGCACAAGTTCAAAGGCCAGAAGGCCAGTTCACATGCAAGATCATATATAGAGATATACAAGAGGCAAACAAGCAAGAACAAGAGTATATATAGGCGAAGGTACAAGCAAGGTCAAGAGGAGAGCAAGTGAGGCAAGACAGGCACAAGACCCAACTGCGTGCAACAACGCTGATGATCACAAGGCGCAAGTGCCTTGGTGAAGACATCAGCAGTGTTGGCCTCAGAGGCCACGTACGCAAGTCGCAACTGTCCACGCTGCTGTAGCTCACGAGCAAGAAAGTAGCGGAGAGCAATGTGCTTCGTTCTGTGCTCCAGTCGCTGCTCTCGAAGCAAGGCCAGCATGGCCTTGTTGTCTACGTACAGGACTGGAGGAGAACGAGGCTGCTCTCCACGGTCGGTCAGCAGGTAGGTGAGCCAACGTAACTCCTGCGCAGCCATAGCCCCAGCGTAGATCTCAGCCTCACAACTGGAGCCGAGAACAGAAGACGAGCGGGTAGCTCGCCACGAAACAGAGCCGGAACCAAGGCTGAAGGTGTAACCCTGTGACGACCGCTGCGTAGCCTGGTCGTCAGCCCAAGAAGCGTCTGCGTGCCCAGTGAGGACCACAGGACTGCGCCCTCCAAGCACAAGCCCCATGCCCGACGTGCTGCACAAGTAGCGCAACACCCTCTTCGCTGCAGCCATGTGCTCTGGTCGGTGTCTCCCAGGAGCAACATAGCGTGCGAGAATGCTAAGAGGGTATGCAAGGTCAGGACGTGTGCAGGTCATCAGGTACATGAGGCAGCCAACAAGCTCTGCAAACGGGCCACTCGACTCTACGGACTCATCCGAAGGCAGAGCTGAGAGTGAGTGGCGAGTAGGCAGAGGAGTGGCCTGAGGCGAGGAGTACGTGAAGCCGAAGCCAGGTCAGTGCACGTGTGTCTCTTCTGCAGCTCGGACTTCACGTAGGCAAGTCCAGCAGTGTCAGCTGTGGCAAAGACCAAGTCGTCGACGTACACGAGGATGTAGAACGGCGGCAGAGAGGTGTCGGTGCGCAGAAACAGCGACGGGTCGGCAGTAGACGGAGCAAACCCAAGTGCCGCGAGCGTAGTCCTCAGTGTGTCGTGCCACTCACGTGGCGCCTGGCGGAGACCGTAGACTGGACGCCGGAGACTCACTGGGTACCAGGAGGGAAAGACCCAGTGAAGCCAGGTGGGCGACACAGCCAGATCTCCTCGTGCAGACTGCCCTGCAAGAAAGCTGTGCTAAAGTCGAGAGAGTGCAGCTCGTAGTCACGGTGAGCAGCAACGTGCAGCAGCACCCGAAGAGTAGTCATCTTCGGGGTGGGGGAGAAGGTCTGAAAGTAGTCAACCCCCTGCCGCTGACTGAAGCCACGAGCCACGTAACGCGCCTTGAAGACAGGCGGTGAACTCGGCGGCCGCTTCAACCCTGAAAATCCACATGCCACTGACGATGTTCGCCCCAGGAGGGGGAACAGCGTCGACGTAGGTGCCTGTGGACTTCCAGGAAGCCATCTCTGCATCCATAGCTGCCTGCCACTGAGAGGAGTAGGGACCCCCTATCGCCTCCCGCGTAAGAGCGCGGAGCCGGGATGTCTGGTGCATCCGGGTCTCCCTCAGGGGCTAGCAGTACAGACGCGAGATGAGGTGAAGCGGCAGCCAGACACTGGAACTCCTCCTGCCTGTCCTCAAGGACGTCCGTGCCGAGGGCACACTCACCCCCGACGGACGGAGGACAGGCAGACTCAGACTCAGCGACAAGACTGGCAGCGTAGTCTAGACGACAGCGTGCAGCAAAGTCGACAAGCTCAGTGACAAGGGCAGACGCAGCAGACGACTCGAAGGAAGGGTCAGTGACAGCAGTAGCAAGGAGACGCGTGACAGTAGGACTGGCAGCACGAAGAGAGTCCGACTCCGGGTCGGCAAGAGCAGGAAGCGAGGAAGCAGGAGGAGAAGGCAAAGGGGCACGCAGAGGAGCAGTGGACGGACGCAGTGACATCCAGTGCGTGCCAGGGACAGGAGGAGGACGCTGACGCGACCCGCGACCACTAGCGCGCTCAGTACGAACAGGCGACGCAGGACGAGACGCAGGCTCACGAACGCTCAGTAAGACCTCCAGTCGGACCAGCGTAGGGAGAAGGAGCAGGCAAAGGGGAAGCAGGCTGTAGCTGTGGCTGTGACTGGACAGGTTGCGGACCCTCTAAGGGAGGAGGAGGTGTAAGACCAAGAACCTGCTGCAGGAGCGGAACGAAGAACAGTCGAAGCCGCGCGGCGACGCCAGAAACAGCAGGAACAGCACCAGTACCCCCAGCAGAAGCACCTACTACAGTAGCACCTTCAGCAGCACCAGAACCTCCAGCAGCAGCACCAGGAGCACTGTCAGTCGGACCGCCAGCGGCAGGCACAGCGCCAACACCCTCAGCAGCACCAGCTCCAGGAGAACCCTCAGACCCAGCAGCTCCAGCACCCAGAGTACGAGCACCGCCGGGACGCGCGGCAGCAGTACCCTCTGCAGCCAAAGAACCACCAGCACCAGCAGCACGCCTCCAGCGCCTGGCAAACCACTCACAGCAGCTCCTGTGGGGAGAGTGGCTCCCGGCGAGACGAAGCACACCCAGGCACAGCACCCCCAGGCTTAGCACCCCCAGGCTCAGCACCCCCAGGCTCAGCACCCCAGGCGCAGCACCCCCAGGCTCAGCACCCCCAGGCTCAGCACCCCCAGGCGCAGCACCCCCAGGCTCAGCACCCCCAGGCTCGGCACCTCCAGGCTCACACCCCCAGGCTCAGCACCCCCAGACTCCGCACCCCCAGGCTCAGCTCCCGCAGCAGCACCAGAGTCACCAGTGACCTCGACAGGCTCGACCGCGTCTACCTAGGACACACCTGAAGGGGCAGGAACCTGAGGAGGGAGGGGGTCTACCGGGGGGGGACCTGGTACCAAGAAGAGCGGGGGTGGGGGGAGGGACGGAGTGCGGTAGGGGAAGAGGCGGTAGTAGGGTACCGACTCGTCGAACGTGACGTCCTGGGAGGACAGAACACGTCGAGAGGTGGGGTGGTAGAACTGCCACCCTGGAGCGTCAGGGGGGAAACCCCAGGAAGACGCAGGGAGCAGCGCGAGGGGACAGCTTGTCCGCAGACAAGTCGCGGACAAACGCCCGAGATCCCCAGACCCGGAACGCCGACGCATCGCCAACCTTCCCCGTCCACAGCAGGGCTGGAGAGGTCTTCGGCCTGGAGACCCTGGGGTGAAGGTTGATCTGATGCGCTGCGTACCTGACCGCAAACGGCCACAGAAAATGGGGGGCAGCCGCATGCATCATAGACGTACGAGCGACGTCCATGACCATGCCAATGCGGCGCTCAGCATCCCATTTTGCTGCGGGGAGTCCGGAAGCGTGAAGGACTGGCGGATGGCTCGCGCACGGCAGTAGGCACGCAGAAGGCCAGAGGAGAACTCTCCGCCTCTGTCCGAGTGCAGACGCAACACAGGAAAGTCGGAGCCAAAGCTCTGCCTTGAGCTGAAGACGAGCTGCGCGGATCCAGTCGATCAGCACCTCAGTGACCTCACCCTTGCTGCGCAAGGGGAAGACTGTGGTGTAACGCGAGTAGTCGTCAACAACGAGCAGGAAGTAGCGCTCCTTACCCTGTCCACGGACGCGGGCTGGGCCCCACACGTCCATGTGAAGCGTCTGCAACGGGGCCTCTGTCGGAGGAAACTGGGAGGAGTGAGGGGCAGCACGCTGGCGCCCCTCGACACAGGGGACACAGGCAGGGCCAGGGCCCTGAGGAAGGGGGAGGTAGAGACCGGGGGGAGACCAGACACAAGAAGACGGGAGGCCATGCCTCTGAGCCGAAGCAGAGAGGGTGGCCAAGGCGGTGGTGGCCAGAGGAGGGTCTCGTGAGACAGACGACGACACGAACAGGGGGCAGACTCAGGACCAGACTGGACGCTGCGGCAAAACACCTGACCAGACGAAGGGACCCTACCAGACTCAGCACCTGGAGGAGAAGCAGTGGTCAGTGTGTACAGGCTTGACCCTGGCCGACGTGTAAACGTAGCCAGGTGGCGTCCCGTGCTAGCCTCCGTGCAGTGGGTCACGCGCTGACGAGCAGGAGTGAACTGGTGGACACCCGCATCGTGTAGGTCAGCACCACTCACCAGGTTCGTCGAGAAACGAGGGAGGTAGAGACCAGACAGGGTGCCAGAGGGGGCCGCCGGACACGGAAGGACCGTGGAGAAGCGAGACAGGACAGGCCCCCAGAGGGGTCAGCCAGGGACAACCGCAACCGGCCGACTCAGCGGCGTGAGAGTGGTGCGGTCCCGAAAGAAGGAGCGAGACGCTCCAGAGTCAAGGGTGAAGGTGTGAGAGGCCGAAGCCGACACAGTACCTGAGAGGGCAGACTCACCAGTACCTGAGAGCACAGACGCACTGGCACCTAGAGCAGCAGCCTCACTATCACATGACGCAGCAGTACCAATGCCCGGGTCGGGCGGGAAACACCGGTACAGTCATCCTCATCACTACCAGTCACAACATACATAGCAGAAAGGAATAGCATCAAAGTCAAGATCATAAATGGCTACACCAGCCCTAGACAGCTCCCCCCAGCGGGGGATCTCAGCGGCCTCCGGAAACTGCTGACGCCAGGCGTCGGTCAGGCGGCCAAAGCAGCGGCGGGCTGTGTGGGTGCCTCCACACCTCTCCCCCGCACGGTCACCGGTGCGAAGAACGTAGGGCAGGGACCAAACGCACCACCACGCTGACGCTGCAAGTACCACTCACGGAGCTGCTGAGGGGCGGGGACGGTGCGAGAGCGCTGCTGCTGCTGCTGCTGCTGCTGCTGCTGCTGGCGCTGGCCACCCCCAGAGCTGCTCCGCTGGGACGAGCCACTCCGACCCCCGCCGCCA